ACAGAGATACCATGTATGCGAGATATTTCCTCTGGAGACAAACAATCCAGAGTTAAACTACTCCCCCAATCGGATCTCCGGGGGGCTGGGGGGGGTGTTTCTAGAGGAAATGTCATGCAGGCGTTACGACAACAAAAAGTGTGAAGATCAGAAGGAACATCACGGCTACAAAATTGGAACATGGAATGTAAGGACCTTGAATCAAGCATGCAAATTGGAGAATTTGAAAACGGAAAAGCAGAAGAATGAGGTGTCTGTTCTAGGTGTCAGCGAAGTGCGGTGGAAAGGACAAGGCGAAATAAGAAGCGGTGATTATACGGTGTATTATTCCAGAGGTGAACGGGCTGAAAGAGGTGGGGCAATAGTAGTAGATGAAAGTGTAGTGAGCAGTGTTGATTGCTCTGAAGTTAAAGGCGGAACCGGTAGATATACTGATTATGCAAGTGTACATGCCAACATCAGAGTATGAAGATGATGAAGTGGAAATGTGTATGACACAATTGAAGAAATTCTTCAGGAAGATGGAAGAGGAGACACAACCAGCATCATATTGGGAGACTGGAATAGCATTGTTGGAGATGAACCATATCAGAATATTGTTGGATCACATGGACTAGGAAGACAGAATCACAGGGGTCAAATGCTTATTGACTTTTGTGAAAGAAATGGACTGATTGTCACCAACACTTAGTTCAAGAAGCCAAAGAGAAGAATTTACACATGGAAGGCACCTGGGGATTGGAGGAGGCATCAGCTGGACTACATCCTTGTGAAACATCGATTCAGAAACAGTGTGAAGGATGTGAAGATGCTTCCTGGGGCAGATATTGACTCTGACCACAACTTACTGGTTGCCAAGTTCCGAACCAGGTTGAAGAAAATTATAAGATTTCGAAGGCGCAGACCCTGATGGGATTTGGAGAAGTTATATGCTCAAAGACAAAGCGCGCAAGAGACCCTAGAAGAGAAACTCGGTGCAATTGAAGGCGAAAGCGGAAATGCTGAAGCACAGTGGAACAATATAAAAGAATGCATGCTAGATACGATCAGTGATTTGGTTGGTAAAGTTGAGAAGATAGCAAGAAAACCATGGGTTACACAGGAGATGATGAGTAAAATGGAGGAGCGAAGGAAATGGAAGAATGTCAACAATGAAGAAGGCAGGAGGAAATACAGGAGACTGAGGAATGAATTGAAAAGAGCCACGGACAGGGCCAAAAAGGAATATCTTGAGAAGATATGTAATGAGATTATGGAATTTCAAAGAACAGGCCGTTATGATTTGATGTACATGAAGACAAAAGAACTAGGATGGAAAGAGAATCATGGGATTCAAAATGTTGGCATCGAAGACTCCCAGGGGAATAGAATAGTAGATCAGAGGCAAGTGCTGAAAATTTGGGAAAATTATATTTCAGAACTATATGATCGACCTAATCGGCCAGAAACCTTAGAAGTTGAACCGGAAGAAGAAGTAGATACAGACGAGAAAGGACCATATATTTTACAAAGTGAGGTGGAAAAAGCTATCAAGGAAATGAGGAAGGGAAAGGCTACAGGAGATGATGATGTACCTGGAGATGTGCTCAAGTTACTGGGAGAAGGTGGTTTGAAAACACTGACAAAACTAATGAACACCATATATGAAAGTGGAGAGTGGCCCAAGGACTTTACAGAAGTTACAATGATTGCCTTAAAGAAAAAGACAAAAGCTACAAAATGCAGCGACCATCGCACAATAAGTCTTATTGCACATACAGCAAAGATAATAGCAAAGATACTTAAAAGAAGAATTGAAAGGAAAATAGAGGATGTACTTGGAGAAGATCAGTTTGGATTTAGAAGAGGAAAAGGAACCAGGGATGCAATTGGGATGATGAGAATTATAGCGGAACGAACTTTGGAGATAGATGAAGAACTGTGTGTTTGCTTCATAGACTGGCAGAAGGCATTTGACCGGGTAAACTGGACCAAATTAATGCAGATCCTGAAAGAAACAGGTATCGATTGGCATGAAAGAAGATTGATTAGCAAATTGTACATGGATCAGAAAGTTAGAGTACGACTGGACAGGGGGGAGACAGGAAGTGTGCAGATTGGAAGAGGAGTTCGACAAGGATGCTGTTTATCACCAATTCTGTTCAACTTGTACAGCGAATGCCTTACCAAGGAAGCTCTGGATGGGCTCGGTGACTTCAAAGTAGGAGGGCAAATTATTCAAACTGTGAAATATGCAGATGACCTTGTGTTAATGGCTAAGGAAGAAACTGTGCTACAGGGCATGATTGATAGACTAATTGAAATTGGAAGGTGCTATGGCATGGAAATGAATGTGGAGAAAACAAAAGTAATGAAAATTTCGAGACAACCAACCCCAGTCACAATAAAGATAGACCAAAAACAAGTGGAGAATGTGAAATGTTTTAAATATTTGGGTAGCTTGTTAACAGATGATGGAAGGTGTACTTGTGAAATTAAATCCAGGATTGCCATGGCAAAAGCTGCATTTAGCAAGAAGAAGAATCTTTTTACCAGCAAATTGGACTTAAATTTGAGGAAGAAACTAGTGAAATGCTATATTTGGAGCATAGCTCTGTATGGGGCTGAAACATGGACACTTAGGGCAGTAGATCAGAAACATCTGGAAAGTGTTGAAATGTGGTGTTGGAGAAGGATGGAGAAGATCAGTTGGACCGATTATGTGAGAAATGAAGAAGTGTTAATTAGAGTCAGTGAGCAGAGGAATATCCTACAAGAAATAAGAAAATGGAAGGCCAATTGGATTGGTCATGTTTTAGGCAGAAACTGCCTTCTAAAAGAAGTTATCAAAGGAAAGACAGAGGGGCGGATAGAAGTGACAAGAAGACGAGGAAGAAGACGTAAGAAGATGCTGGATGACCTTGGGGACAGAAGAGGATACTGTCATTTGAAGTAGAAAGCTCTAGATCGCATTAAATTTAGGAATTGTTTTGGAAGAGACTGTGGACTTGTCGTTTTGACAGATTACTGATGATGATGAAGCTTGCCTATCTGCAACCTGCAAAATTGATGTTAACCTAGTGTTGCAAATAATGGACAATTTTGTATATTTATTTTGAAGATTATTTTGATATGTATTTTAAGGACCATTTCCACATCCTGATTATATACTGTATGGATCTATGGAAAATGAATGAATGAATGAATGAGTGCTGGGGAAATCCTTTGGTCAAGTGCTGCATGTTGTTACTTTGCATTCTGAAAGAATTGGTATGGATGCCAGTAAATATGAATATATGCTTAACTTCCAGGCTCTAGCTACTCGGTTGGACCAATTGTCATCAAGCAACATGCATGTTGAACATCAGTGTATAGCAGATCTTTTTGCACCTGATCAGTCTCCATTTTCAGAGACCCTGGCCAGTTTTGTTAAGTGATTAAGAGAAGTTTTCATAACAATTCATACTTATTTTTGTATGCTTTATTTAATGATACTGCCATAGCTCAGATTATATAGCATGCAATGAGAGGATGATTAGTGAGTATGAATTGGAAAGGATGTGGAAGGAAGTGGTTTTAACATAATTTGAGACACTATCTTTGCTCTCAGGTTTGAAGAAAACAATCAATTCCTCAGGTTGAGATTTGGATCTGTCATTCTTCAATGCAAAGGATTGTTGACCATGTGACAAGGAAGTCTGTTAGAATTTCTTTAGCAACTGAAAATAACTGCCATTGTCCTATGATCCCTGCAGTACCAGATTATGTAACACATGCAGGTCCCAAATTTTTTTGATCAGATCAAGAAAGAAATGTCTTGATTCACATTGCTCTCAGTCTCAGACTTTTGTGAATTTTGAAAGAACTACTTTGCTTTATGAACACATAATTGCATGCATACTACCTGATCTGTTAGAACCAAATGGTGTGAGAATAAACGTAGGAAATTGTTTAATATGACTTGAGACTGTCCAGGGTCCTGGCAGAGATTCACTCTGAGCACCTCCCAACAAAAAGTAGAATATTGCCACTATGCCATCCCATCTGGAAAGAATGTAAGTTTCTATTGATGAACATACACTCAGTTTCATTTCAAATTGTTTGCAGGGAAAGGTTAGGAGTACCTCACCTGCCGAGAGCTTGAGAAATTGAGTCCTGTGAGGCCTCCTCCATTCCTGTAGAATTGCCTCTGGTTGTGGAAATACCATCAATCATATTGACAGAAGCAGAAATTGAGTCGCTGCTGTCCTACAGGTAAGTCATCATAACATCTTGCATGTATTTTCAGTTGATGTAATAGTAAGAACCATGCAGGATTCTTCGCATAGGTCAGATTAATATTTTCGTAGGAAAAACTGTTAACTCTTCGTCATTTTGGGTACAGCTGCTGTTTTCATCTTTCATGTGTCTGTATACTTAAAAAAGTAAAATAATGTCTGCTGTGTGAGTTGCAGTGAGTTTGTGGGAACAGCCTTCCAGTGGCCATAGGCATATGCATTGCTAGTTATCTCTAAATATCAGTATGATAGATATGCCAGCAGCACTCAAAATCTCTTTCTTCTGTGGGGACATCCCACATAGCACGCTGTTTCCACCAGTCTTTTAGACAACACTCACTCCTTTGTGAATATCGCATTGCCGGACGTCTCATTCATATATATACCACCATGCACTGCAAATTTCTGCTCCTCATTTTCGCTAGCCAATCAGCGCTCTGCAAATTCTTGCTCCTCAATTGCAAGTTTCACTCCGCCCACTGAGTATTGTACAAAAGGCGGAGCACAATGCTCGCAAGTCAGTCAGTCTACAGTCAGTCTTCAATCAGTACATCAGCAGTCTACAAGCAATCAGCACACTTCGTCGCCAGCGCTCGGTCTACGGAGGCATTGGCGCTTTGCTGCGCCAGCCACGACTGCCACGGCTGTCCGGTGGTCACACCTGACTCACTGGGCAGCTAGGCCACCTTGGATTCGCCAGTAGTCATGTCCGATACCCTGGGCAACTGGCGTAGCTACCGCCTCTCCGCTCCAGCGACCGCGCTCAAAGACCAGACTTCCACCAGCAGCTGCCTCGCTGTGATCAAGCAACAGCCGCACTGCAGCCAGTCCACACACCGCAACCAACATCTCTTCCTACCAGCATGCGCCGCTTGACCCTCACCAGTCAAGCATCTCAGCAACCACGGTCCTTTTCAGGACCTACAAACTGTTCCGAAGAAGTGGGTTGTCATTGNATGCCAGCAGCACTCAAAATCTCTTTCTTCTATTGTAATATAGCACATGCAGTACACTCTGCTGTGGTAACAAAATTCCTACATTTTGTGCAGGCAGTCTACTTGCCACATGTAATTACATCATCAAACCTTACAGTAGAAACTGACTACCTCATTCTGTATATTTTAAATCTTTAACTGCAACATGGGATCATAGTTTTCCAATGTCTCAACATGTTTCATTGTATCTTTCCCATATGTCTCTCTGACATAAGCAGACCTGTTTCTGGGGCATTCAAGCTTCTTTTCCCCTCCCCTTTGTAAGAAATCTACCATGTTCCAACTTTGTATATAAATTCCATATTTTCCAAGGTATTCCTTGGTCTGTCAAGTTCTGTCTCTGTTAATCTGTCTTAATTTGCCCTGGGTGTATTCATAATTCTTTCTTAGTATCTTTGTTCTTGATATGATCTAGTGTATTGGTGGCTTTAACTCTATACAAATATCCAAATTTGAATGGTCAGTTGCATCAGAAAAATAAGTATAATTACTTGTGTATTGTACACGTTTTCATGCAGTACTTGATGTTAAAGTTAAAGTTGTCCCAGCACTTAATAATTAAGCACTACACCATGAAGACGTTTGAGGGAGGTGAGTTATAGCTCCACCATTCTTGACTCGGTGTTATTTGTTTTAAAAGTTCTAGTTATTTAGTCTTTATATAAATTCTACCCATTAAATGAATAGTATTAAATCAAGGGGCACAGTCATGGAAGAGCATGTGGAGACAGAAGAGACACACACAACATGGATTCCATTATTCATGTGAACTGCATATAAAGTACAACTCCCGTTCGTGTTTCGTGCGTTAATGTTTTCATACATTTAACATGCAGTGATACCAAGGCAATAATCTCAGCATTAAATTTCCTCCATTTAATATCCAAATTCAGTGGTCCCCAAAGAAATTCTAAATGGGAGTTTCACCGTAATACCATTAATTCCATTTGAAGGTTCCTCTGGGAAGCAATAGTTCTGAAAACTAAAGTGAGGAATATTGTAAATGGAGGGACTTTAACATGGAGATTATTGGCTTGCAGTCAGTGAAACTTAACATGACATGACAGATAACTTAAATGAAGGGAATTTAATATGGAAATTATTATCCTCTGAGGAACTTTTGTGACTCTTAGCGCCAAAAGGAAGCGTTTCCAGACATGGGTGTATTGACTAAATGCGATCAGATTGAACCCATCTACCCACCACAGAGCATTTTAACATGTATTTATTTATGCCCTGTATATGTTTTTTCTTACTTGCTGCTGCTGTTCTAGTTGTTTATTCGACTGACCTGTGGGTATGCGATGTTTTGTTTCTTTTCCTGTGTTCTCTTTATTTATTGTGGCTTGTTCTGAAAATGTGGATTTTGTTACTACTGTGTGTATGTTGTAGGTTGTATGCTGGAATATTGATATTGTTAATATGCAGTCATTAATCATACATATGTTAATTACAATTGAGAGCTGAGTAGCTCAGTCTGTATAGTGGCTGGGCTATAACCACTACAACCATAGGATATGAGTTTGATTGTGAGTGGGGGAAGGAGTTTTCTTTTTGCCACTGCACCCAGACCAGCTCTGAACCCTGGTACCTTCCTTCCGGTTGGTGCAGGGAGTCTTTCCCTGGGGGTAAAGCAGACAGGGCATGAAGGTGACCCGATCACCTCCATCTATTGATTCAGTTAAAAATATGTGGGGTTATACATCCACTTCTCCATGTCTGTAAGGGGCTGTGCTTAACCCGTTGCCGTGGTTCGTCGTGTATGTTTCGTCAGGGATTTAAATCGTCTGGGGGAGTTCGACGTGTATGATTCGTCCAGCTG